TGGGGAAGTCTCAAGACCCTGAAAACCATACCTTGTACAGCACAACATCCCTGACTACATGTAGACCAAATGAGGGAGTGTTTCCACCCCGGAAATGGAATCCCCTAGTAAAGTCAATTCTGGCCATGTGAACACCTTGCTTTTATGGACACCTTGATAATAAGGATGTAAAAGCAGTTAATTTTCCATTCAAAATACAAACTATGGACTCTTAACCTGACCAACTGACCTGACATGAGATAAGGTGTCTAAAAAACTCTTATACAAGTTCCGTTCTTTAAAATACCTCGTCAAATGAAGTTAATTTTTGTCAATTTTGTTTTTAGTGAGGCAGCAGCCTTGCTAGTGACCACTCTGTTTTACAAGACATTCATATTACAAGGAGAAACTTGATGCTGATCACTCTTAGGGCTTAAAGGGTAAATATTCATCAAAAACAGGACCAGCAAAACAAGTGTGTATAATTAAAAAGTCCAGATAATCAAGGTTCAACTGTAACCCTGATTAGTTAGGTGTTTTATACAGAAATAGGTAATTGTTTTATACTAATTTCATGGAACCAGCAACCTTCACACGTACTCTTATAAAGGCTTCCAGTTCAAAAACACACTCTGTTAAAGACGCAAAATAGTGGGGAAGACTCAAGACCCTGAAAACCATACCCTGTACAGCACAACATCCCTGTCTAGACCAAATGAGGGAGTGTCTCCACCCCGGAAATGGAACCCCCTAGTAAAGTCAATTCTGGCCATGTGAACACCTTGCTTTTATGGACACCTTGATAATAAGGAGGTAAAAGCAGTTAAATTTCCATTCAAAATGCATATTATGGACTCTTAACCTGACCAACTGACCTGACATGAGATAAGGTGTCAAAAAAACTCTTACACAAGTTCCGTTCTTCAAAATGCCTCGTCAAATGAAGTTAATTTTTGTGAATTCTTTTTAGTGATTGATAACACTGCGTCACATATTTGAGATTCTTGGTGAAGTGGAATAGAATGCCAACATGCAAAACAACTCACAGGAATGACTGTTGGATAACAAGATCAGCAAGAGAAGGCGACCCTGAAGACAAGGTAAACAAGTCTCCTAATTTTCTTAGAGTAAATAAATCGCTAATTGAGTCAAGAATCGAGACTCGCAATGGACTGTCCAAGTTCAAGTTCAAGTTCATTTATTCACACTTATTCAATTACAATACAACAACAATCAGGAAAAAAAAAGAAGAAGTAAAAACAGAGCTAACTATACATTGAATTAAACCTAACAAAGGAAAAGAGTGTGTAGCAGCCAAAGGAGCCAAGCTTTCGAGTTGGCTACTACCACAGAGCGGTTACAAGTGGGTGGAGGTTATACAGCAGGGCTCGAAATAGCGGCCGGTCAACGGACAATGTCCGGACTGATTGGGGAGTTGACCAGTCAACTTTTCGTCTTACCGGTCATGTTGACCGGTCACAATCGATCGTATTGAAAATGAAATCAGTTGTTTCAATTGTTATCAGTATGTAGCGAGTCGCTGTGCATTGCGAAACGTTGATCTGAAATCCTGGGTGAAATACAACTACAACCCTTGTTTACAATTCGCGCATTGAAACAGACATTGGGGTTCAGTACGCGCTTTCGGTCACAAAATTAAAAATATTTTCACTTTTATGAGTTAAGCAACAACTTAAGGGCGTCTGATCGGTCGCGGAGAAAAAAGTCAAGTTTCGCGGGATTTTTAGAGAGATTCGCAGAAAAATTCGCGAAAATTTTCGGAACTAACTTCGCCGAAAAACAATAGATAAAAACGGCCGATTTCGTGGGATTTGATTTTGTGCTGATTTGACGAGCATGTTTAAAGTTTTTTAACAGAGATAATCACTAGCTATTTTAATAACAAAGCGCTCGAGAAATGAGGCAATGGCAAAGCTTTTTAAAACATCATGACTAGTGCCCAGTTGTCCCCAACATAACTTATGCCTGGTAGTTTTGGAATGTTGTTCGTTCGTTGTGGGGATGAAGTTGACGGCAATTAACAGCCCCAATAGCCGAGATGAGTTTCAAATATGTTGTATCGACATGTATTAGATAAGATTTCTAACAAATTTCGCAGCCCCTCGACCCCGCGTTTATCTGAACCCACAGCTGTTTTTTGGCCCTTGTTTTAAGAGTTATTTACCTCATAAATTTGACTGGCCAGTAAGGATAAGTGACCGAGTTAATTGAATTTGGCCGGTCATCGTGTCTGAAGGCTCTCCGGAAATTATTTCAAGCCTTGTACAGTACTTATAAAAAACTATTTAAAGTAAATAATTAAATAAATAGAGCTAAATAACAGATTAGAGTTGTTCAAGATGCCTGACTGTCAAGTAGAAAGAGTTTATATTCTTTTTTAAAACTGTTCGAGAGGAGACACTTAATTTTCGTAGGTGTTGCTTCCCAGGTCTGTGATGCCACTACACTAAACCTTGCTAGGCCGTAATTAGTTCTGGAACATGGTCTGCACAGGTTTTGATTAGTGGCATACCTAGTATTATAATTATGGACAGCTGAAGCTGGTTGAACTAAGTCATAGAGGGTAGGAGGTGTATCCTTTTTTTGTTATTGAATTTTATGCACAAGAGCGCCAATTTTTAATTTAAAGATATTCTCTAACTTTAAGATTTCTAATAGTGTAAAGTACAGTGTGAGACTTTCTCTTTTGTTTGCAAAGAAGATGCAGCGAATACAGTTATTTTGACTTACTTTCATTTTATTTAACTTATTTTGGTATGTGGTACCCCAGCTCATTAATCCATATGTTAGATACGGATATATGAGAGTATAGTACAGTTGTTTGAGTGTACTTAGGGGCCGATCATTCAACTCTTGAGGGAGAGGGGGTGATTTCTGGTCATCAAGAATTTTTTTTTCTAGCAATATGGTGGGCAGGATATTTTTTTCCCTTTTTTTCCCATAAGCTTTCTATTATATTAATTTGTGCTGCATGCAATTTTTTTCTTCTGACAAGCGCTTGCAGGAATTTTTTATTTTTTAAATGACCCCCCCCCCACCTCAAGAGTTAAATGGTCGGCCCCTTATAGGCACATAATGTCTAAGCTTAAATAAAATTTCAATGTATTTTGTTATTTTGTTGTTAATGTTCTGGAGGTGAGCATCCCATTTTAGATGTTCATCAATAAAGACATCCAAATATTTAATCTGGGACTTTTGCTCTATATTACAAGCTGTTATTCTGATATTTGTTTTCTTCTTAGGTGAAGTAATTATCATGTAATTAGTCTTCTTGAAGTTCATGGACAGCATATTTGCTGCACAGAATTTTAAGACCTTTCCAAGTTCTTCATTGATAACTGATTGTAATTGTTCTGGGTCTTTTGAAGAATAAAACTTATTTGTATCATCTGCAAAAATCCTAAAAGTTAATTTCTTCGAAGACCTGGGCAAATCGTTAATATACAATAGAAACAGCAGTGGAGCCTTGAGGTACACCACATGTGATGGTTTTCAGGCTACATTCTGTATTACCAACTTTGACTTATTGCTTACGATTAGTTATATTGCTTGAAAACCATGCATGGGGGATCCCATACTTATATAAGAGAATATGGTGGTTAATTGTATCAAAGGCCGTGGAAAAGATACCACCTGTTATTTTTTGATCATCAACTGCTGACTATAGATTTTCCACAGTTTCTAGAGTGGAATATCCCTTTCAAAAGCCAAATTGGAAGTTAAAAAGCAGACATATTCTTTTTCCAGATAGGACACAAGTTGGTCATATACTAGTCTTTCCAGTACTTTACTAAAGGGACAAATAACTGTTATTGGCCTGTAATTTCCCGGGGGGTACTCCCGCGAATTTTGGATAGGGGTGTGCCGTGAAGGTTCATGAACCCTAACCCTATTTAAGGACTAAGAAAGCGAAAACTGATACCCTTTTTAAGGAAAAAACAAAATTATTAATAGCATGAAAAGGAAAACTTTATTTCTTCTCTGTAACATTGGATGTATAGCATCAAGCATAAAATACTAGAATAAGCCTAGTTTTAAAAAAATGTTCGTTTAGGCGGGCGTTTTCACACTCCAGTATTAGATAATACAATTAAGCTACCCTATCTAAGGACCACACCAGGGACACAGAAACAAAAGGGTCAAAAAAGATACCCTATTTAAGGACCGAGAACCTCAAAAACCATACCCTATTCCGCGGCACGTACCTATATAGCCCATATGTGGGAGTACCCCCCCAGGTAATTTCCTAACTCAGATAGACAACCACTTTTAAATATTGGGGTTACTTTTGATATCTTAAAGATTTCAGGAAACTCCCCTGATAATATTGATTCATTATATATTTCAGTAAAGGGTGCAGAGAGCTGTTCAGTTGCAAGTTTAATAAGCTTGTTAGGAACAATAAGGGATGCTTTGTTTCCTTTTAGCCCAGCAAATAATGTAAATACTTGTGTTTGGGTTACTGGAGCAAGGTAAAAACTGTTTGATGGCGTAGATTCTATATAATAATTTTATTCCAAAGGGTCTGTATGATCAGTTTTGATTTCCTTTGCTAACGTTGGCCCAATGTTTACAAAGAAGTTATTGAATAATTCGGCAATGTCCTTTTCTTCTGTTAAAAGTCCTGTTATTGTGAGTGATTCTCGTGGGGAAAGTTTGACCTTTGGTTTTCCTTTTAACAAGAGTACCAAAAAGTTTCCAAGTTTGCTTAAGGTTGTCTTTGTACTTTGCAAATTGCATGTTATAGTATTCTGTCTTACTTTTATTTTAAGATGTGAAAGAATAGCTGCATAATGTTTATATTCCCCGAATTTTTGTAAGTCCTTGCTTAAGAAATGCGTACGGTACATTTTCTGTTTCCTTTTTACCGATTTTAGGATACTCTTAGTGAGCCATGGCTTATTAAGTTGCCTTGGCTTGCTTTTGCTAACCAGCTTGATAGGCGCATGTTTGTCCACAATTTTATTCAGGGTATTGATTGCCTCCTGTACCTTTTCATTTTATAGATTCTTTTCTGGGTTGAGGATTTCGTGCCAGTCAATCAGTTTTATATCATCTAAGTACAGATCTTTATTAAATTTAGAGTAGTCTCGAAAATATTTTTTGTTACTATTATTCCGTGTAGGCTGGGTTCTGACTAAGCAGAAAATCGGAAGATGATCTGTTATATCAACTGTCAGGATTCCTGCTGTGAAATTTAGTAAAAAATTTGTATATGTACAGTGCTGTGTGATCAGTAAGCCTCGTAGTTTAGTAATGATCAGCAAGATGTTATTGGCATAAAGCATATCTAAAAACTCTTCAGTTTGAGTATGTTCATTGAATTTCAGGAAATTTATATTCATATCTCCAAAGATGTAAATTTCGTATCTATTGGGATTAGTTGTTTTGATTATATCATTTAGTTGGTTGTGAAACTGTGCTAAATTACAAGTGGGATGCTTGTAGATACAACATATTATGATCTTCTTTATACCTTAACCAGCATCAATTTTTGCCCAGCAGGATTCAACTAGTGCTATGTCAAATCTAATGTCAGGCCTAGGTACAGCTTTAAGATTATTAGCTTTACACAATGTATATAAAGCAGCTCCACCTGCGTTTGTTGGCGAGTCCGTATGAAAAAAATTATAGCCTTTGATATTTACATTAGAAATAGACTTCTCACCTAATTTAGTTTCTGTAATTGCAAGTATATCCAGCTTGGAGTCAAGGGAGCATAATAGTTCTTCTAATAGATTTCAGTTTTTAGATAAACTTCTAATATTACAAGTGAAGAATTGAAAAAGATTTTGCGGCTGAATTTACAAGCATTTTATTAAAGCTACCGACTGAATAATATTCTGAGCAGAGGGTATTTAACATTAAATCTGGGTCGCACTCGTCGAATTTATTTGGATTTGGGAGGAGATCGTAAAGGTCAAGATCATGACGCCTATCCAGCCAGCTGCCAACCATAGCATGAAATTCTCTATCAGTTAAATCATAAAATTGTCAACAACTACTTACGTTTTCCTGGTAACCAGCCATTTTTGCCTCCGTAATAATATAAGTTTAAAGAAGTCATTAAACTGATAGCTAATTAATTGAGCTCGTTAAGGAACTCTTTGAATTCCCCATGGGTTACGAAACATTTCGTAGTGGAGCTCTCCGTTTTCTTCAGCATTATTTTACCGTTAGCCGTCCAAATAAACTTGTAGTTGTGGTCGCGCTTTATGACTTTAATTTGTGCTTTATGACTTACAACCACAGATTCCGGCTCGCAGACCACAGACGGGAGATCTTAAGTCCGCTTAGTGACGGACCATTAGAAGACTTATGGGGGAGAGGGGAATTTTCGAGCCGCAGGAATTTTTTTTTGTTATCAAACTCCTTGTACGTTTTTTTTTAGGCCATAGCATGAATATTTTTTTAGGATTAATTGGCGCGCATGAATTTTTTTTCATTTAATTTTCCCTTGCGCGAATATTTTTTTTACTTTCGCCCGCCCCCGATCCCATGAGTTTTCTAATGGTCCGTCCCTTAGATTTGAAGTTTTTCCTCTTGCTGTAAATTTCGTCTCTTTTCTCTCTTCGAGTGAACTTGACAATTAGTCGATCTTTCACTTTCTTCGTTGGTGGTAAACGATGAGCGATCGATATGTCGTTTTCGTTGAAGTTCACTCCCATAATCTCAGACATTTCCTTCACCAGCAACGCTGGGCTGTCATTAGGTACGACCGGAATAACGGTTATTTCGAGACAGTCTCTTCGTGCGTACTGCTCGAGCTCATCCAACTTGACCTCGACATTAAAACCATCGTTGCCGAGCCGGAGCATGTTTATGTCTTCCTTGATCTCTTTAATTTGACTTTTCACGCCTTCGTTGTGTTCTTTTACGTGACTCCCCTTTTGTGTCCTAAATACGAAGAAAAACGCGTCGCTGATTATGAGTCTCGCTGCTTGCGCAAGCGAGACTAATGATTTCTCTTGTTTTAAGGAAGTATTTTCTCGTTTCAGCAACAAACTGCAGAATGGGTGAAAACTTTCCGTGACACCAACATCCCCTGTTCGAATGACTTCTCGGTGACTGGAGACTTTGGGAGACCCTGTGAAGATAAGGGACTGGAACAAGCTGGGCTACCAACTGACAGTTTCTCTATTCAGAATGGCATCATTATCAGGTAATTATTAAAACCTGAATCAGTGGATAATGCAATTCTGGAGCTCTGATTGGCTTAGCCATTATGGTATATGAGCCATTATACATGTACAATGCTCTCCAAAAATGGTAACCGTACGTGTCTGTTCAAAATTAAAAACAAACTGATAATCGGTTGTTTTTTACAAATAAAGTCGGGAAGAATTCTCGATATTTTGCGGGCGTTTTGAATAAAGCGATTATTCCACTCGCGCTTGTTTGGATATGAAATGATTACAGCCAACGCGCACTCGTGGAATAATTGTTAATTAGAGGTGTCCGGTCAGAGCGAATCGCCTGTATATAGGTTTCGTCCTTACTGTTTTAATGTGCGCTGGTGCATATTTTTGCGTTACAGGACGTCCAGTTTGCCCCTCTGAGCCACCTCACGAGAGAATGCAACTACAGAGGCCGTTTAACGTGATGGACGAACCCTGTTGACAATCCAGGATAACTTCTACTGCGCGACCATCATAGACAGTAAAGACTACAAGTTTTCGCCAAGAGACAGCTACTTTACTCCTAAAGCAGGCAACTACGCATCGTACATCGAGTACGGACGCAGCCTTCCGCTCATTGCGCTTCCTGAGGTATTTGGAATGCACGCCAAATGCAGGCATCAGTAAGAACCAACAGGAAACCCAACAGTTGTTCATCAACATCCTTTTGACGCAGTCTCGAGCTTCCGCCAAAGGTGGAAAATCCGACGACGAGATACTCTTTGGGGTGGCTGAGGATATTTTACACAAGAACTTTGACACGGAAGCGGCACTACGGAAATACCCCACCACCTATACGCAGAGTATGAAGACGGTATTGGTGCAGGAAATGGTCAGGATTAACAGGCTAACGAGAAGTCTTGCCATCTTCGCTTATGAACATACAGAAAACTGTTAAGGTGAGTGAACCTTCAGATAAATTGAATAGCTATTTTTATACTGTTCTTGGTTGAAGTTTTGACTAAACGTGAAGTAGAATCCTTATTCCGTTACAGTCTCTAAGGCAGACCGTGGCCATTGCCACGGAAAGTGTCTGTGCGCCTTATAGAGAGTCAGAGAAAATGACTGAAAATGACTTACTCCAAGTGTCTAATGCATAGAGGGTCAAATAAGACAGAGACTAACTCTTGATGTCTGTTTAAAGTGAGTTGACTGTATTACTGGACCCTCTCGAACTTGTCGCTGACTGAAAGCAGTAAATACAGTTTCCCCTAAGGTGGAAATAGTACGTCAGGCAACCTCCGTTATTTCAAAGCATGTTGCGTTCATCTGTGTGCGATATTGCGTGATATGTTGCACATTACACTTGTGTCTAGGAAATCTACCCGAGACATGTTACCGTTTCCTCTTACCCCTCCCTGCCGGGTATATATTTTGCTCTTTTTCTACGGGGTAGGCGCACTTACAGGAAGTAGTTTTCGCTGCGTGTTTAGGAATGGGACTCACTAAGACGGTTTACCCGACCTTTTATATGATCCCAGGGCATGGTTGGTATGCCCTCTGAACTAGAGGAGGTGGTGGGCGGCATCCTTAAAGGCAAAATCCCTGGTCTGTGGATGAAGAAGTCCTACACATCTCTTAAAGCACTCGGCAGTTACGTCAATGATCTGATTGCTCGCCTCAAGTTTCTTCAAGAGTGCTATGACAATGGAGCGCCTCCCGTGTTTTGGGTATCTGGAGTTTTCTTCACTCAGGCCTTCTCTGAACGGGATCAAAACAGAACTACGCCAAAAAATGCTCCATTCCTATTGATCTTCTAACGTTTGACTTCGAGGTGGCCTCCCCGCACACGTCCTTTGGGGTTCGTTCGTCACTCATTCATTTTAGGGAGAAAAGAATGCGTGACAAACGAACCCCAAAAGACGTCTACGGGAACGCTAACTTTGAGGTTCTTGACGACAAAAATTACGAAACTCCACCCGAGGACGTTGTCCATGTTAACGGCTTGTCCATGGAAGGCTGTCGATGGGATCGAGAAAAGAGAGTGATTGGAGCGTCGCACGGGAAAGCTTTGTATGACAGCCAGTCAAAGTCAAAGTCAAACATCATATTATCCACTCCCCTCAGGGCTTTTCAGGGATAATTTACAACACTGGTTGGGGGACTTTGCCAGACTGCTTAAGGTGCAGTTTACAAGTAATGAAGGAATGAGTAACGATGCCCCCATACATGAGTGTGAAAGTGATATAGACCACTACACCGGGCACTACGTGCCCTACTCTTTACGAAGAGTGTGTGGGTTCTTTAACGTCCCACAGATTTTTTATTACATGTGCAAGGGCTTGTGAGACGGGGCCTACGGTTTATCGTCCTTATCCGAGAAGACTAGAAAGTCAAACCGTTTGCAGATGTTATTACAAAGGCAGCACTTTCTCCTCAGTTATTTAAAGACCCTGAGTGTTGATCCGGCCGGGGTTTGAACCTACGGCCTCCCGCTCAGCAGACCGGCGCTTATCCCATGCCTGTTATGTGGCTCAAACCCTGCAAGAAGGAAGACATTGTTGACCGGCCGCATTTTGTCTCCCCTGTTTACAAAACAAGCGAGAGGAGAGGTACGCTCTCTACCACAGGCCACTCCACTAACTTTGTGATGGACATGCGCCTGCCATCTGATCAGCCACAGTCCCACTGGATCATGCCTGGTGTGGCTCTTCTTTGCCAGTTGGATGATTAAGGAAGTGTTACATGCAGTATTAACGTGCACTCAAGAAGTTTGATATGCAGAATTAACGTACAACTTGTATATAGTCCTCATTCAGTTTATGGTAGTAAAGTTTATATCCTGAATTTAGAACCGACTGATATTGTTTCCTTTATTCAAACTGTAGTAGTAGCAAGTATGGTCTGTACCCTGTAAATATGCTCTTACTTTCTTAGTACTGACAAGTAGTAAATATACTGAGCGGTTGTAGTTAGGAATGGATTTAACAATACTCCGGGACGTGCATTATGTTTGACCAAGTTGTTAACTTTCCCTCCTCCTTATTTACGACGCGCCAGACAAGCAAACGCATTTGATAACCAGCAATGTTAACCGTCTCTGATTCAAATCCCTTCCAAAACGACTCTTAAAGACACAGGAACAAAGGAAAATGCATCTTATTATTTTATTAGCTAATACAGCGCAAATACATCTAATTTTTTCTATTAGCTATTACAGCGTTCGGGTTCCCTGTGGTCAGAGCTTAAATCAGAGTGCGCAGATATTTTTCATCAGAACTTTCTCTGGTTGTTGCGCCATACTGACGAGCCCCAAAAAGGGCGAAAGAGCTGTCTATGACTACAATCCCGCTCTGTTTTGAGTTCTTTGGGTGTCGTGTTGATGTCTTGCAGAGTTAATTTTCACGTAGTACGATCAGCATTGCAGTATTCTGCTTGCAGAATTTAATATGTCTTCTTAATATTGGTGAAATTAGGTTTTCAGAGCGTAAGTGTTATAATACATCTTGGGACGGCTTCATTCGATTGGTGGGTTCGTTAACCTTGCACAGCGAAACAGCCGTTGTGGACTTCATAGCAAGTCAGGTGCCACAAACTTCCTCCGCGTAGTTACTAAAACATAGAACGACCTAAACCATCTACAACCACCTACAACCACCTCAAAAAACTCAACAACCACCTACAACCATCTACAACCACTCGCAAACAATGCTCCCCTAAAAAGGCCTGCGTGGGAGGCTAAACCTACAGCAACCTGATTGGTTTTTTGCAAGGAACCAATCAAACCGCACCATTTTCGATCCTCCAAACAAACCGGGGTAGATAAATAAACGCTTACCAAATCAATCAATACGGAATGGTTCAGAGTTCACCTCAACCATCCCACCACATAGCAACTGATGAGAATCGTAAGATTCGAAACCGCCGGTCTTGCTTGTAAACTTATATTTAACTGCAAACATCATGCAGTGGCACAAAGAAGCCAGTCAATTGATTTTAAAAGATTTTATAAACATAATATTTTAGGGTGTTTAAAGTTTTCCAATCTTGATGTATAATGTCACAATTGATTTTTATGCTTAACATTTTACGATTTTTAAAGTTTTACAATTAGGATTTTTTTAAGTTTAGAAATGTAATGATTTTTAATCGGCCTTCATAATGTAAAGCGCATTGAGGATAGAAATGCGCTATATAAGAATCTATATTATTATTATTATTATTATTATTATTATTATTATAATTATTATTATTATTATTATTATTATTAAAATATCGAGCTTTAAAATACTCTCCTCTGATATTAAAACTACAAGAGACATTTACAAGGCGATTGAGTTTTAAAACGACATTCACAGGACACAGCATCATAATGTATCTAAATCGTGCTTCTACTGAAAGACGTGATAAATACACAAAACCAGTGCTAGGTCTGGATATATTTAAAGGCTACGTGCTGTGTACAGCTGAACATTGTTCTCTGAGATCGCGTAAACCTAAACTTTACGGAGATATTAAAAGCAAATACTCTAAGATAGCAGCAGCTATGGAAAAATTATTATATTTTTGAGTAGACAAATCTCATAAACGGGCCACAAATTCAACAGGAATACGCGCGAACTGAACAAATTTTATGTTGTACATTTTAAACGTTCTGCTCAACTTACACAATTTTCCCTTGCTGAACATAAACTGTACCGAGCCATATCTTGTTCCGCTATATATATTTTAAACTGTAAGATCCCTGTATGAGTTCTCTTCAATGGAGCAATGTAAAAGGTTTTCAAAGGTTTCACGCCGGTCAAGATGTGCGGCCTGTCACCTCTTGCAATTGACGATTACAGAAGAAAACAATATTAATAGTGGAACCTGGAGTCCTTAGTGATAGAAGCGAAAACAGGTAAAGTTTTACCTTTGCAACGTGTCCTTGACAAACGATGTCGATTTGAGTTGCTTCTTCATTTGGTTCCGGTGTGTGGATGCCCCGCTATACGGGGCTTTTAACAGGTCTCTTGGCCCCGGGGCCGGGGAAATAAGCCATCTTTTAACACTGGGTAAATGTTAAATTCCCCGTTATGTCCCGGGGGTCGGGGGGCCGGGGTTTCAATTGACTGATGCTTAAATTACTTTAAATACAATCATTCACTATTAAAATTTTTCAACCCATTTTTATTAATTTCGGCTCGTCTTAACTTGTTTTCTTCTGAATCCATTGCATCATAGATTTTTTTAATAACATTTGAAACAATAAGCGAGTTTATTCTTGCGTGATGACACAGGAAACGGGTGTGAAAGACACTAGGGTTCTTCTAAAGGAGTCACCTGGAATGTACAAACATGTTTGGCGGATGATAAACAGAAGCTAAAAAAATTAACTTGTTCTTAGGAATGTAATCCGCCACGTCAGAACAAAACAGCAGTGAAGCAGACTTCGAGAGAGAGAGAAACCCTACCTTTTGCCATTACATAAACAAATGAAACGTGAAGCAAAACGTCTCACTGGTACCCAGGGTAGAAAAAGCCAAATCAAGTCAGTCCTTCGACTACGAGTTTGTTATTTTATTTTACTATTTTTTGTGACTTGATAGTTCATTTTGTAAAGTTCTTTAAGTCTTTTAATATACTTAGCATGATCTCGCATTTCATTTCTTGAATTAAGCCAATGGTTGATGATAGAAGGGACCAGGGAGAGTAAGATTTTAGGGGGAAGTGGATGTTTTGTTCGATTCTCGTATTTCATGTACGTGACATGTTGTCGTCTCACCTTATTACAGACATTTATAACCTTGTTTTAGATGGTTTTAGATTGTTTGCGAGTGGTTGTAGAGATGTTTTTGAGGTGGTTGTAGATGGTTTTTGGTGGTTTTAGGTCGTTCCATGTTTTAGTAACTACGACTTCCTCCGACGAAAGTGAATACTTTGAGTTCCCCTTAATACCAAGAAAAATTCCCAATATTCGCTTGCGGTCAATAAATCCCCGCGATTTCTATTTTCATACACGGGCTGTACGTCAAAAGAGAAAATACAGGATATGGGCACAGGCTAGCCTTTCCCAAGTTTGAGGGATTTCTAGGCAATATTTGCTACTTCCAAGAAATTTTACAGAAAAAAGTCGTTGGTTGCCCCTGGTATGAAAGTTCCAAACGATTCATCAGTAGGACATGCTGCCTCGTGACACGTCGTCTATGCTTATATCAGGGGCTAGGGTGTTTCTTTTGGGGAATCATTAAGATATTATACATTTAATGTCAGATCCCGAGGGAAACAGTTAGTTTTGTTTTCCCGAGAGTCCTGATGCTTCCCGAGACAAAGTCAAGGGAAACATCAGGACTCGAGAGAAAACAGAACAAACTGGTTTCCCAGTTTGTGATATGTCTAGACTTTCACTTCAACAGCTCAAAAGAATAACCGGAGCGAACCAAAACAGTCAACTCGGTACATCAACACAAATTTAATTCTCAAAAGCACTGAATGAATGATTTACAAAGTACTTTCCTTATATTATCTGCATCTTTTTCCTCCAATAGCTGCTGTTTTTCTTCTGAGAATTTCTGGGATAACTTTAAAAATCGTTGCTATTTAATTAGCTTAAGGTTTTGTGTTCATAACTGGCAGTGTTCCCCCTCTTCTGTCACGCCACTTTCCACCATGCTTTGATCACGTGCTGTAATATATCCCGGCCCGAGCGGGGTACATTTCTTCTCGGGATACATTTAAATTTAGTCAAGGCCACGTGACCAAGAATCAACCAATGGCAGTCCCTGTTTAGTTGGGTGAAAGTCTAGCAATATAACAAGGGGCTTTCTTCCTTACTGTAGGGACAGTCCCAGAGATTCAATTTTCACTTTCCTTTTGGTACTTCTCCTTCTCGATCTGGGGAGACAGATTTCTTGGTGAGTATGTTGATCTAGCCATTTACATTTCCTAGTTTAAGATTCGAATATTCAGTTTCAGTTCTTGAGATACCAACGAGGAAATTAGTAGAGAGAGTTGTTTATTTCTGGTCTTTCCTTCTTCTCGAAGCGAAACAATTTCTTGTTCATGATCGGTGGTAGGCAAATTAAGATTTCTTTCGTTGAGATTTCTAAATACTGGCAGACTCTACATCAGCAAAAGATTTTGAGAACTTGATTACAAGGACAATGGCTACTTTAAAGCATTGCAAAGCATTACCCACTTAATGGGACAGTGTCCCGATTGTGCGTTCGCGCGAGCGTCATCTGTTTTTTTCTTCAAAAGACAATGGAACTATCATATTGACTCGACAAGATTTCTTTCCGGACCGCACCGCCGACGGAGTTTTGTTGTTTACATTCTCAAGTAATATTTTAGACTTTCGAAGAAGTCTTTCGTCTTATTTAAAATTTGGCTAGCGGCACGAAGACTCATGGCGATTTTATCGCTAGCAGGGCCGCCTCGCGACCCGAAAATCTCGTTCCGCTTGCTTTAAAAACAGCTTTTCTAAAGTGAAACTCGCGTCAGAGGTCAATTTTTCCAAGTCCAGTGATATTTGCCTGATTTGCTCGCGTTCTAGCCTCAAACGTTTGAAAGATATAAATAAAAATGCAATCTCAACGCTATGAATCATCGCAAAGGTTAGTCAAAAATTATATTCATTATGAATTCGTTGCACTAGTTTTTCTTCCGGGGG